TGCGTCTTATATTCCGAAAAATATGGTAATTCGAGTAATTAGAATGAGTACTGTAATCTATATATTCACATATACTAGTGCGAGTGTTTCCTAATGGTTAGTATGCCGGATTGATTCGGGACAAGATACCGTTCAGCAGGTTTTGTATTTTCAGATATGGGCGCGTTATAAAAGTGACAGTCAATCTCGTTCTTTGGTTCAAAGCCTTTGTGGTAGCGGATGGTGCTCTAGTGTGTAGTTCTAAATCAGAAACTATATTGATTATCGATTAATATAATCAAGATGTGATATTATTGAATCATCATGCTAGTAGTGTTACATTGTTTGCCACATCTACGTAAAGCGGGAATATACAAGGGTTATTAGTACTCGATATAAACGATGCTTTAGGTTTCTTGCTGTCCTTCAACGTCGATCGGTGGGTAAGCGGTAAGTTTATGGACTAAAATCTGGGATTCGATTTTCCGTGGTGGGCAGAGAACAGATAGCCTATTGTGTGATTTTGCACTAAGAAAACAATAACTAATTATTTTGTATTATTCTAGAAGTCCTATATTTAAAGAAGTACCGTTGCAATATTAATTTGACATCAAATGTTTTGAAGATCTCTGCTGGTATATATATATATTAGTATATATAGACTGACTTCACCATCCTTTATAGAAGCTTGTTACAATGAATATTACAGTGTCAGATATTAGTGTATAGCCATATTCATCTGTTTAATCGCAGACTCCGAAATCTTAGTCCTAACAGTTGTTAAGCCTTTATTAAGTATGGCCTATATTCGATAAAAAGAAAAATTAGCACTGTAATTTGTGCACGTTTTTTGCCTTAGTTTAGTTAGGGATAAACTTTACCGTACTTAATACTATCAATAAATAAACTTATAATTTTATTGTACGACCTAAATTTAGACCTTTTAAAACTTTGGTTAGCTTTTAATATGTTGTACAAAATGTCTACTGAAGTGTATTTATATTCACCTTTTGTTTACATTCGAAAAAAATGAAGTGCGCGCGCATTTTCAGGTCAGACAAAAACCGAGTATTATTATAGCTATGTATTAGATCCCTCACTGTAGTTGGGCGTCTGTTTCCAGTAAATCAAAAGTTCATTGGAGATACATCGATGGACTTGAGAGGTAGTCAAATGGACTGGTGTTTTCAGGTTCTTGGGGCATCGTTCACATGAAAATAGCCATTGACTTTATGCGTGGATGGTGAATTTTGTCATCTTCAAATCTTCCTTTATCTTGGTGGGTTTGAATATTCAATTTTATAACAATAACCTTCACTTCAGATGAGGGCGTTACTTCGAATTAGGTTGGAGTAGAATTGCTGTCCCAAACGCATTGCTGTGCGAGTTTTTCCATTTTTGTGGAGATCACTGAAGACTCCAGTCTTCGTAACTGTGTGTGACCATTGCCCTTTAAAAATCTCGTTGCATGAGTATTTATATTCCGTAAAGCTTTTTCTATAATTCCAGTCTTAGGTATTTATCCAAAGTCGGCATTGCACTGTTGAGTGTCTGTGAAGCAAATATATAGGTAAGAAATAGGTCTACCCGTTGGTGGTGCCACGTTGGCATCCATGGCGACAAGACGTGTATTACATATGCAAAATTTCCAAATAAAATGCGATAAATTCTTTGTATTTAGATGTGTTATGGCATTGTGACAAGCAAAGAACGCACATAATTAATTAATACTATTTAAATATTTGTGGCGCCATCTGCAAATTATTTTTATGTTTAAATTTAAGATGCATATTTTGTTCTATTACGCACTTTTCATTTTATAAGTAATATGCATTTATACATTCTTGCGCCGTATTAATCTTCATAATATATGATGTAAATATTTTAGAAATTAATATGATTACAAACAATGATCTTAAATTATGTTTTAAATATTTTTTAAGTTAATGATTGTTTAAAGGGAAGATCTGTACACATTTTGGATGTATTTAC